AACTGTTCAATAATCGCTAGATTCGAACTATTGAATGGACTTAACCCTTTCGTTCCCACTGTTGCCATATGGCTACGTACTCTAAATTACGAAATAAAATGTTAGTATCATGTATTTATGTGTATCTGTGAGTATATAATACATAGTTTCTTGTAGTCTTATATAAATGGCATGGCACAAATCGGAATGTGCATTTCAAAGTTCATTCTCTACTAAAACTCTAATTTCCTTCAAATATTTCAAAAGGGCTTATTGATCAAAGCTACGAAAACTTGAGTTTTAGTATGTATAATAACATTATAATGGGAATTATTATATATAACAGTGATAAAAATAAAAATGTTACACATTCAGTAGGAATATATTTATTTGCAATCTTGACCTACTTACTTTGGAATTTTGACTGCAAAGAAGCAGAGCATCCAAATATTTCCATTGTAAAAATTTCTATTCCTTAACGAAAAAGTAGTTATCATAATATAAATAATACATAAAACATCGAGCAGAGAAATATTGCTGCGTTAATTAATTGTTTACGAGAAAATTATGCTTTGCAATTTTACCAATAGTTCCACGTCCCAAAAGTTATATTAAATTTCCTAAAAATTTCTAATTCGTTAATGCTTGGTGTGTCCTGTTAGTTTCGATGCTCGACTAAACTGCATCCTAGGATTGTAGTCGTTATATGGAAGAGGGAGCTTAGGGTCAATTTAAATCTTACACTACTGCGGATACCGAACCAGCGGTAAACCAAACGCTAAGCCGAGCTTAAGTTTTGTTCAACCACTCTATAATCTGCTTTAACAGACAATGTTCGTTTCTAGCCAATCATTCGTGTAATGCTGCTTTAGAATGAAGAAACAATGCCGATTATTTATTGCATTCATTGACGTCACCGTTGCTGTACTGAATTATACCGAATTAGTTCGCAACGAATGTTACACCTTAATACACTCGCTGTGTGCTATTATTTCGAATATCTGTAGACTAGATATTTTAATAAGATATAAACATAGTAAATAAAATTATTGCAAAATATTTTCAATCTGTACAGATTCAAATTTTTTAAGAATCTTCTGACATTATATTTTAAGAGTTTATTCCTTTTTACTGATTCAACAAACACATTTTTAATTCAAATATCAATTAGTGGGTATTACAATTGAAACCGCATATTATAAACAAAAATTTAGAGAATATTTTAATAAATTTATACTGACTGTTTATAAAAACACTTGTATTGTGAAAACCATTAGATAAGTAGTTCCTTAATTGCTTTAAGTATTATACATATGTACTAAATAACTAAATTGTATTCGGATAACATTTTTGCTAAGGAAAAAGTTCTATCAAATCACCTCACGAACTCCTCATTTCCGGAAGTCGAAGCTATTTAGGAACACCCTGTATACTAAGTTACTTATTGCAATCACTACTATAATACATATGTTGTCTATCATATGCCGCAAATTGCTTACACCTGACAAGTTATACTAATGGTCCAACCTAGGCGATGATCACAATTCGGCAACTTTCCTCTAATCTCCACGGTGCATATTTCAACCGAATGAAAAAGTAAGCGTTTCCGTTTCGATGTATAGAAACACCATTTGCTCCTTCTTACCACAAAAGTATGAAACTCATTCATACTGCAGCATGCATCTAGGATACATATGGACGTCGGGCATAGCACAAACGACAATCTCGTGAAATGGTGGTTGCTAAAGACCTAACTTCGCCCTGAGTTCCTGAGGACTCCAAAATCCCCTCGAGAACATAGGCACGTAGAATCTGATAGTATTTGTAGTCACTGCTGTTGCTTTGTACACTAAACACTTTAACAGTGGCAGATTGGCCAGGGTGTCAGCTTGCCGGATAGCAACTCGGCCCCCTTAAATACTAGACAACATGTTAAAAACGGTAATGACATTTTAGTAGCTTGAAGATAAAACAGAAGTTCCATATCCTTACTGTATGAAACTAAAGTTTACGCTTCATTACTGTTTACTAAGAAAATATAATGAAATCAGTTTTCAGAGTCCCCCTTGTAAAGTGACCTTACAAGTAGGCCCCTCCTTGGTCTCCTGGCAACCAATATTTTTAGACCCAGTCCACCACTGTATTTTAATAATGGTCATTTTTCCCTTTAACACAAGGCTACCTGCCAGCAAAATTGTTACGTTAATTGACGAGCAATCTGTCGAGGATTCGTAAAAAAAAAAAAGAGGGCAACCGGAAACAACGTCCACGTTCGTAAGGGATAAAATGTGTCGCCTGTTTCCGCCTCGGAGACACAGTCCCCGTGTAATTGGTTTTCGTGATTGATGCGGTGTCCAAAAATCCAGGCGGGGGATCCGAATCATAAATCGCCCCGGAATTCGATAAATGATTACAAGGTAATTGTCGAAGCTGGGAGCCTCTCGAGCGATGGTTATTTTCCGTCGTTATTAATGACCCGCCCCGAGATTTTCTTTCCCGCCTGGTCGTTCGATCGGTGCAAAGACAGCGTTACCGAGCTTATTGCATTTTATTAATTGCCTCGACCCAGTTAGTAATCCCGACCGGGCACGATAAATAAGATAACGAGTACGGAAGACGATCTGCATCCCCATGCGTCACGTGACATTTTTCACCATCTCCACAGAAGATGTACCCGCGGTAGCTTGTGTTCCATTCATTTTTTCTAGAGACCCACTCCTCTCTTTTTTCAATAGCACTGGCCGAGGGTGAAGGAGAAAAAAAAATTATTACGAAAGTTCACGGGGTGCATTGTGTTAGTTGAGGTTAATGGAATACCAGCGTTATAGAAGCGTCCCCCTTCGTCCCTTCTAAATGAAATTTTAAACGGGTTTTATGTGGAAATATGAGAGGCGGCCATTTAAAAAGTTTCAACGTTATCTTCGCTACTTTAAGATTTTAATGCAAACTGCGTGTCATGGTGTTCGTACTGTCATGTGACGTGTTCCTTGGTTAGTCATCGAGTAAATGGATATGTCGGCGATAATTACAAAATGATTATGATAAACGTATGGAAATCAGTTTTTGATTGGCCCTTGGAGAGAACGGACAGCGAAACAGGGGCACTTGGTTCTGTCACACACGCAGAGTAAACTTTTTTTTCCAGCAAACTCTGGAACAACTTTCACACGAGAGTTTTCCTTCTGTTCTTTTTTGTAGCAATTTGGTGTGGAATAAACAGTTTTGGGAGTCGAGAGTTGATAACAGTTTAAAATAAAACGTTTATTTTCATTTCTATTCATTCATTTCTGTGTGTGGTATTATTAACATTTGTTAGGTGCATGTAGAAGCAATAACGTTCTTATTTAAGTTGGTGTTACAGTTTCATTCCATATTATCGTCGGGGAATCCAAGTTTTCCCAGAGAAATAGTAGAAAATTATGAAAACTGGGGGAACCACTTTGAGCAACAAATGTTAAAGCAATTGTTTGATATCAATAAAGCTTGTAAACACAAAACAAAAACAGTCATTCTATAATATTGTTGTAATCAGAGTTGGCATAATTTTATTCGAGTAATAGATAGCGAAAAGCAATTAATAATCGATTAAAAGTGACGAAGTGTTTTTTTTTTGTCTTCTATTCTTACTCTTTACTCAGATAATGAATTTGCCCATATCTGGTTATAGTATATTTGGCTACATCATTTACCAACTTCTGTTTAAATAACGAAACAACTTACACAGATAAATACCGGCACACTGACTAACAATTTTACTGTTTTGGTGCAACGAAATACGTCCATAAATTTTCATTCCAATATTCTCTCTCACCTCGACTTCTTGTGCATCGAATTACGGAAAACCGTTACTTTACTCCTCCCTGTCTTTCGATACGACCGTCCCCTTTGTTTTCAAGAGTTCTCGCGATTTCAAATCGAAGGTGTGTGATACGCCATACCTGGGTAATCGTTCTGCGCGGGAGGCACGATTGTAATCGGACGAAGAATGCGATTGAATACGAAACCGGGGGAACCTATTGCTTTACGTGATACGTTTAACAATTCGAGAGGCACACAGAACGAAATCGAGATACTCGAGTAGTGCACAAACGGAGACAGCCCGAACGCAAAATGGTGGCCGCTCGAGCGACGTGGTAGAGCACAAATATCATCTGGTGTGATTCATGATCTGTACCTCAAACGGCTTTTATTCAATTTTTTAGACCATACTGTTTAATGACTGTCACATTATTTTGGGAGTGTAATAATTAGACTGTGGATGTTTCTGCAGATTTATTATTTTGAGCATTAATATACAGGGTGTGAGAAAAATGTTGGAGGACCCAGAAATTGGAGACTCGTGAGGTGATTTGAAACAAGTTTTTCCTTAGCAAAAATGTTCTCCGAGGCTTCGTTAACGAGATATTAACGAATCATCCCCGACCAATCAGAGCGCGAGTTTGTCGGCTCAGTTCCCGCGATAACGTTGGCTACCAATCGCAGCGCGTAACCAACGTCACCGCGGGAACTCAGCCGACAGACTCGCGCTCTGATTGGTCGGGGTTTTTCGTTAATATCTCGTTAACGAAGCCTCGGAGAAAATTTTTGCTAAGGAAAAACTTGTTTCAAATCACCTCACGAGTCTCCCATTTCTGGGTCCTCGAACATTTTTGTTACACCCTGTATAAGAAAGACAATTCTAATATAAATATTTTAATATGTTAATAACACACATGTAAGTATAATACTGTTGAATTTTATTAGAATATTGTTACGCTTCGCAAGTCAGGAAACACTATAAATGCATAAACATCCGCAGTCTAGTAATAATAATAAGGAAATCGTGGAGGTGCAATAAACTAAAAGTTAAGGATTGCTAAATGACAGTAGAATTAGTGATTCAATGTAGAGTTTTGTGGGAAAACTCGATAGCGAATTTATTGCAGTTTTGGACTTATAAATCTTAAAAATGAATCATCTTGTATATCTTGTAAATAATTGTTGCATTACTAGTACCTAAATCTGTGTTTTTGATGTTTCAGGACGAGAAGAACCAATTGCTCATCACGAATCTTTGGCTGAAATTGGTAAGTTTGTGAACTTTTGTCAATGAACATAAAACAAGTTAGATTTGCTGTAAAGTTTTTTTTTAATGTGTGAATATGCACGAATGGTTAGAAAATATGAAAAATCATTGAACAATTTTATCTGAAAATTGAATCTTCGAAGTAATATCAGTAAAAAATAATTGCGAACATTGAAACGTAAAAATATGGTATGATATATTCATAAAACTTTTCTGAATTTATACTGCAGATTCAAACACACGATCAAAATTTGATTGCAATATTCAGAAAAACAAAAGGACACTTGATTACGTTTAAAAGTTCCAAACGTTGAAAGGTATAATTTTATCGTACAGCATGAACATTTTCGCTAATAATAAGTGGAATAAATCAAATGGTAAAAAACTGTAATTCAAAAACTTTTTTCATATATCTGAATAATCTATGAACAAAGGCCATAGCGTTTTTTACTACGTGTGTGTTGTATACCTGTGCAAAGAAAAAATCTAAGAATCACTTATTTTTGGAGCGTTTTTAATGTGAAAGTCTCTTAAACCACGTCAGAATGATTCTGTTCCCCCCTTCAAATACCGAAAGTTCAACCGATGAAGCGTTACGGGACGGAAGTATTTTCCAACTTCGAATCGTGGGCCATAATAGTTTCTTATCAACCGGAACTATTAATATAGTCACGGGCAACAGGTACTCCCCCGACATAGAGTGGCCGAAGTGGCGCACCCTTATTAGGGTAGACTGCCGTAATATTTCCTTTCAGGAGGTTTCGAACCGCGCTTTAAAACGCTTGTCGTTGCTCATTTCCAACGGCTTATGCCTCGTCAATCCTCGCCCTCATTCAGTACCTCTGCCGAGCCGTACAGGCAAGAACGGCTTTGCGATGACCCGAATTCGCAGTTAACGATTCACCGATGATGTTTTGCCCGATTGACAAATCGACCTTCCTACCCCAGCCCCACACCAGCCCCTCTCATCGACCTCTGTCAACAATTACAACCGAACAGATGCTACATCGCGTGTCAGCTAATCACGTGGCCTTGATTGCCGTTTAGCGATCTAGAAATTAATATTTGAGAAGACCTGGGGAACGTCAACAGCGGAGCCAAATTGTCCCCGGACGAGCCACGATCCGGGGATCAATGAGCCGGGAAAATATTATCGAGAGAACTTGCGGATCCACGTACCTTTGGGATCAAACTGAACGAACAATCAGTGGGTATTTTGCATATTCGAATGGGCGTTTGAATAAAAAACTTAAAAATACGCGGAATCGGGGGCTTTTACAATTCTAATGCGAAAGTTTTAATGGTTTGAATTAGTTTTAGGTTGGGTATCACGAAAAGAATGTTTTTAATATTTTTAATATTTTATCATGTTCTACTAATAGACTGAAGATTTTATGTATTCTGGTTACGGTAGATGTATTATATTAAAGTTCTTATTTTATTTCGATCCTCTTGAAAAATTTAGAAATGTTTTCATCGAATAATTTTGAAAGATTTACAGATGAGTAAAATTCAACAGTCGGATTTTTAACAATGATAATGATTTTGAATTTTAATAGTTAATATTACAATTAATATGAACTTAATGTTTCATCAAGTACTATGAAATGTTAATGTTATGAACACGGAAAGGATATTAAACATTAACAATGGTATTGTAGGACATTTCTATGATAGATTTTTAAACTGATCGACCCATTTGTAAAAATTTGAACGATTCATACAACTTGTATCATTTTGTGCATTCTGGAGTAAATTTCAGCCGATCTTACACCCTCAGAAACCCGAAATCTTAGCATTGAACCCTGTTGTTCCGAAATGCAATTCCCACAAAAATAATGCTGAAGTAATTGTTTTAAACTAATTACAGGAATATGAAAATATGATTCTAAAAATGCCGCACATTATATTCAGATGTTATTTGACTTAAAGCTTTTGTCCCTTTACTTATCCTCGTACTTCATCTCGGTAGTTTGCAGGTTCATATCTTCGCGCGAAGTAATAAAGGATCGCAGGAACCAAGTAAATCTTCCGTGTGCCGCTGAAATGTTTTTGTTCCCCGCTTTTTAACCTTCCTTGCGTACCTTCGGACGTCAAGTGCATGTACTAAGGCAACAGAACGACGCAGCTGCACTTGACTCCCGACGCTGATATCTTTTTGAATATAAGTCTTGGGGATATCCAGACGGGCTCCAAAGTAAGACTCGGAGATATTCAAGATATATGTATTTGACGTTGGCACGTATCGAAAACCACGTCCTACATTTTCTAACAACGTCTCTGTCGAACACACTCTGGCTACACCGGAGATGAGTGGATCGGATGGGGATATCTTTGCATGTTACATAGGGGATTCTGTAACCAACGTAACGGAGATTCAGCTGACTGATGGTTCCACATTATTAAACGTGCGTGATGGATTCGTGGGTGAAAAACGACATTGTACGAGGCAATACAATGTGGTGGTATACGTTGATGTATTGGATGTAATATACAGGTGGGATTGACAGAGTTCCTGTCACGAATAACAAAACTACAGTATAAAAGAAACGTAAATTATGACACAATGTTATGACACTTTGTAGGATAGAAGGCTACGTTAAACATAGAAATAAAAGGAGATATATTCTATGACTTAATTTTTTACTATTAACGATACTTAAGACTAGAACTACCGAACTCGTCAACATGACAGATTTCAGATATTTTATTTTACAGTTACTAAAATCCTAGAGATACTTTCATCGGAATTTATGTTAACCTCTAATTTCTGATATACTTTACATTATAGTATACTAAGTTATATTGTATTATCTATTACACGTATTAAATATATTACACAATTTAACTTAGCATACAGTTAGTGCTGGTAGTCTAGTGTTAATTACCAGAGTGGAAACAATTACTGACGAATAGATTCTAAATTTTGTGCATTCATTATATTATATAAGTTCTTCCCTTTTCAACTTATTGGCATCGAAGAAACTTGACAGCTAACATTAATTTATTGTACAGTAACGGACAAAAGAGTTACCACTTTTCTGATTTCTTCTATTTTTATTATTTGTTAACATCAACATGCCATATACTGCATTTGTACTGCGAATATGTATTAAACACATACTAGAATTTTAAATTGACACAGAAAAATAATGAAAATATAACCAACTGAGAAAGTGGTAACTTTTTTGTCTGCTACTGTATATGTATACATACATATATGTATACTCCACATTATTATTTTATTTTTACTCTATCTTTTGATTTTTTATTGAATATGAGTTTGTATTATTATTAGAATACCCAAAAAATAATGTCGAATTTCTGTAGTAGCTGATGCATTTTTGATTTTAATACAAAGCACTACTTGTAATTAATAAAATATATATGTGTACATTCTGATAGCTGACACTTCAACTTGTTGTTTAGAAAGCATTCATTACAATGGCGTTAACATTTTTTGCATTGACCTTGTTTCGAAAATTAGTGACAAGAGGGTGTACTTTCGAGCAATTATGCTTTTTTAATTCCGGAAACGGAGAAACGCGGTACCAAAAAAAAAAGATTTTCCTGTGTGCATGGTGATGGTGCTGCAAACGAATGAAAATAAAAAAAAACATAATTGCTCGAGAGTACATCTCTCGTCACTCATTCTCAGAACAAGGTCAATTCAAGAGAATTTAATGCAATCGCAATGGTTTTTTTAAACGACGCGTTGAAGTGGCAGCTTTCGCAATGTGTATGTATTTTTATTAGTTAAAAGCAGTGCTTTGTACTGAAAAACAAAAAAATATCATTCATACTATAACATACTAATAAATTCGTCTTGACGCATATTTTCATACGGCATAAAAAAATATACAGCATTTCGTTTAAAAAATTATGTCACCTTTGTTTCTCGAAAAATATTGCCGACATACAAAATTGATAAACGTTATTATCTTGTTCATAGGAAGCTGCAAAATTTTTTCTTAATTCATTTTTCTAATACTTACTAATTGTGAGAAAAACGCTGGCTAGTAGTAGCGTGAACACCCTGTACATGTTAGAAAAAGGAACTAAAACTATAGATTTTTATTAAGGGTGTGCAAGGAGTGGGGTTAGATTTTATTGCTTCCAAATCTGACGATGAGTCTGCTTTTGTGATTTGTTCATACGGACCCATAGTAGTTTAAAAAAAAAATAAGTATTCTTCTTTTTCCAAAATGGCGATGAACATTCAAGAAAAGACAAATATTACTGAAATAACATAGGCTTCTGATTTCCTCGGAAGTAAATATTGAATCTGATATTAAATTCTAAGAGATTAATACTTCCTAATTTTTACAGTATAAGTTATTAAAGCAATTACGGTTCAGGCGAGTGGTATAGAAACTCTTAAGTACGTCATGTGTCTCATCTAAAAGTTTCGCTAATTCTTGGCGGATCTGTAATACGAACTACCGTCGCGATGCATTTGCATAGTTTTCATTGGGATCTCGGTATATATAATAGAATGCAAGGATACATACTGCATCTCTGGATCCCGACGCTGGAGCGTGTGAGAAATACGTATTACGTGAATATGTACCCGGTATCCCGTAATCTGCATATGTGCACGGTTCAGTGTACGTGTCAGTGAGTTAGGTGTTGATTAGTTATTAACTACTCGTATGCATTACAGCACACTGCATGGAATAACGAAGTTAGTTGAACTAAATTTTCGTATAGGTTAAATAACTTTAATTCGTTTCTTTATGAAAACGATCCTAAATTATCTGCAATAATTAGACTTTCATCCCATTAATCTTTACTTGATGTAAGAAGACAATAATATTGAATACTAGACTTACAATCAGCTTCCAATTTTCCATGAGTCCTAGTTAAATATGATATGTTGTAACTCAGCATAAATACTAGGAAACAGGTGAACAGTGTTGAAGAACAGTTGTTCTGGTATTTATGTGAAGATTTATTGAAACTGATGAGTAAATACTTAAACGTCTAGGAAATCAAGTTAAG